TGAATAAATAATGTGATGGCACTATACGGATGGTGAGACGGGTGCTTGAGATGAGGAAAGTTAACAATGATAAAGCCGCAGAGTTTGAAAGAATGAGTCCAAATGAGAGGTATCTGCTAATCAATGCTTTGGACTTGCTTGATGAAAAATTGCAGTATCGGAGTGCACTAAGGAGGCTAGAGGCATTACTCGGGGTTAGAAAGACAAGATTTACAAGATGTCGATCTTGAATCCAAAGGGAGATTGTTGGGTTCAAGAATGTGCTTTATTATTGTATTCAAGTTCTCCCTTTGTAATTGTTTTGTAATAGTTAGTCTTTACTATTTCCTTAGTATAAATAGGATTTAGTCTCTTAATTGTAATTAGTTCAGTTCATAATTTCTGATTAGTGCTGTTAATCTCTTGTACTTTCTCTCAAGAAATTCAATTTCAATATTGGTGAAATTCTCTCTCTACTCATCTTGATTCAAGTTCTTGAACAATTGTTCTGATTTGTATGATTTTGGGAACATCAAACTGTGATTCACAGAGTGCTGTTGCTATAACAGCTAATCCAGTTCAACATTCTAAGACAAAACACATCGACATCATATATCACTTTATCAAAGACCATGTTGAAAAAGGGTCAATTGAGATGCACTTTGTACAAACAGATTTCCAGCTTGCTGATATTTTCACAAAACCACTCGATCAGAAAAGGTTTTCATTTTTAGTAAGCATGCTTGGAATGTTAAATTTGTCTGTATAAAAATTTGATCAATATGTTGAGGGGGAGTCTTGAGTCTTCTAATATTTTTAACTATCAAATACTAATCACTTGTATGAGATTGTGAGTTATACTGTCAAGGGGGGAGCACATCATATCATTATCCTGATCTGAACTGATTCTCATGTGTATTTTTTATGAACTGAAATATCAATATGCTTAGAATAAGGACAACTTCTAGGTATATTAAAATATTTTCTTAAATATTCTAACCACTTCTTTGGTCTTAAAAAAGATTTTCTGATTTTAAGAAGTGTGACTTTAAAAAGATTTTCATTTTATTTTTGTTTGAAACGAGTATCATTTATGATCAGGTGTTTCTTTGAATCAATCCTTGCGTATTTTCTTTTCTTACATAACTCTAATACCTGATTCAGCTATTCTTCAATCTGTTATTATCACGTCTCTAAAATTGCAAAATTCAATTTTCGGTGATAATACACTCGTTCGTAATCCACTTTGATTTCGAATAATTCTTCATTGTTAAACACTTCATTATTCTTTGAATGTTTAATTTATAAATTTGTTCTTATAGATCTTCCTTCATTCCTCCCCATATACAATTTGTTATTTGAATAATTCATTTGCATATTCATTATGTGTTTAATTGCAATATATTTTTTATCAAACTCATATGATCATATCAAGATTTACTAGCTTAATTGCATACATCATTTTATTGAGCATACAATGTAGAAGCTTGGGTGGGACTGAGTGCTTATTAGATAAACCTCTATAATCTATCAGAACCGATTGCCTTATCTAAGAGGACAACCATACTAAGTGAGCTTATTTGAAAATTCATTTGTGTGCTAAGCTGAAAATGTAAATGAAAGGGGTAGTTGAAGTGAGCTGAAAAGAATTGAATGAGAGTTGTGTACATGATTAAAAGAATATCAAATCTTGATCCATTCATTATAATCTGGAGAAACACATAATCTATTAGTTCTCGACTCTTCTCAAGACTAATATTAAAAACGGCAAAACCCAGATATGCTTTCTGAAGCTATCAATGATTGAATGGAAGTACTGGTGTGATGAACATCAAAAAGTTTCAAATATAAAGTACATTCGTTGTACCAAATATATTTGTTGTATTCACAGTATAATATTTTTGTAAAAGATTGAAAACGGTTTCATAAGTTGAAACTAGCACTTTCCTAAGATCATGATCTTTATAGATTAAGTGAATTTGAAAAGATTTGCTTAACTTTATGAATTGACGACAAAATTCTTGATTATCATTAATTTCGAAGTATGATGTTTATGCTCCTGGTTTACATCATAAGGGGGGGTAGATATCAAATTGAATGAATTCGTCTGAGATATTTCTGATAGAAAAGGGGAGTTGATATTGATATTTCTGAATCGGTAAAGATGATTGTTGAAGATGATTGACGTCCTTTAATCAAGGGGAGATAATTGAAGATTATTATTGTAAAAAAGGGTGATAATGAAGATAATCACATAGGAAGATTATAAATCTACTATCTACAAAGTTCAGGGAGAGATTGAAATTACTTGCAAAAGATTATTTTTTTTGGGAGAAATTGTTAAAAAATAGAGAAGATTGTGAAAGTTTGAAGTTCTGAAGAAAGTTAGAAAGTTAAATGCATAAGAATTCTCAAGGGGGAGATTGTACAAAAGCCATGAAGGATCAAATCTATCAAAGTCAATTTCTAAATGAATCCTAAAATTCATTTCTGAAAATGCTAACAATTTAAAGATTTGAAGAATTTCTATTTTTGGATTTGAATTCAAAGAGGAGAGATTGTTGAGATAAAAATATTGTATTCAAGTCATGTGTTAAAAATAGTTTTTATATTGCCTTGTATTATAGCTTTATATGTTTTGTAAGTAGTTTGTTCCTTGTATTCCTTTAGTATAAATAGGGTGCTAGGTTAGTTTTGTTAGTTATCCTTTTAGCATATTCGTGAGACATTTGAGAGAAAAATCTATCATGAAGAACACTTGTACTTTGATCTTCATATCAATACACATGCCGACTCATTTGAATCAATTTGTGTTCTTAATTGGTTAATTGACTTGAATATGTGCTAACACTACCAAGCTGGTCACCTTTTCCAGTGGCCATATTTGCTAGAAATCCACTGGAAACAGAGTTTTCGGCGTATTTCCAGCGGATATGGCCGCCATAAAATGAGGCGCATATGATTCTTTTTCCCCCGGATTTACCGGCGCCATTTTTGGTTTTCCAGCGAAATGGCCGCTGGAAATTAACCAACTTTCTTTTCTTGAGTTTATTTAAAATATCTTAATTAAATTAATAAATTATTAATAATATATTTTTAAAAATTTTGAATTAATTAATCTGTCGGAAATTTTATTTTATTTTTATTCTTTAAGCATTTCCATGGATCTATCCGTCGGAAAATCACCCAACGCATAGAATAATTATCTTGTAAATATTTAAAACCAATAAAATCTATATTTAAAACCTGTAAATTCTCGAAATATTAAAAAAAAGCTAAAAAGATAAAATGTCGCAAAATATCATACATTTAACTAAAAAACAAGAAATGTTCAATACAATTATCCCGACCAAAGTAGCACACAATTGTTTCAAACAAAAACTAAATTGTTCCAAAATAAACAGATATTCATTATTGTGGCGACAGGAACTGCTGAGATTAACTAAGCAGGTTGACCAAAGCAGCCATCTCTTCAATTTGTTTATCCTCTCTCTCATCCAACACCGACCAACGTTCCTCCTCCTCCCCCCGTCGTCGCTCCTCATCCGCCCGCCGAAACTCCTCCACCCGTCGAAGCTCCTCCTCCGTCCGTCGATGCTCGTTTTCTTCCTGTAAATCTCTAAGTTGGGTCCTTAAGGCGTCAATTTCCAATAAAATAAATAAAACGTTATAACATTTAATATGAATTATAAACTAAATCGATAAACATCATCAAAAGAAAAAAAGTCACACACCCGGCTACCTGAAGACGATGGACTACCTGTATGAAGTTCCAAATCAAGACCCAATTGGGATTTTGGTTGTACTCAAATCCAAATAGACGGTCTTTTTTACTTCCCCCAACCGCATACTCGCACAACTCTGGGATAGGTGGACGGATCATCGTCGTATCTTTGGGTGAGACTCATTGAATAGTCATCCTGTGGTTTAAAAAAGATTACAAGTCCATTTCGACAGCATGACGGCTGTAAATGGGCCGTTTCTAGCCAAAACAATCCTAACGTTTGTCTAACAAATGATAACTCAAACTAATTAGTGACATATACAAAATTTCTAGCCAAAAGAATCATAACGTTTGCCCAACAAATGACAACCTTAACTAAATAGCGACACATACAAAAATTTTAACTTAAACAATCTTAATGTTTGCTCAACAAATGGCATCCCAAACTAGATAATATATATATATATATATATATACACACACACACACACACTTAGATTTTAATTTAAACGACTCAAACATTTCCCCAACAATTAATGGCAACCCAAACTAGATAGATAATTATGTACCCAATTATGAACATTAACATAGATAGATACTTATCATGACCTGACTACACTTAGAGGTCATGCACCCCCAGAATCCGAAGATGCAGCCTCTCCGCTCGACCTCCTCTTATGCGTATAATCGAACAATTTCGTAACGGTCGATAGCAAGTCGTCTTTTGCTTATGTCTACAATGGTCACAAAAATTGCATGTGAAACTTCTTTTTGATTCACTTAGTGAAACGAAAAATACGCATAAAAAATATTCATATAGTGAAACAAATATACGTGAAACTGTCACTAATGAAACAAATACATGTGAATCAATAACTTAAATCCAAACATTTGATGAAAAAAACATCTAACAATTTATATTTCAATCAGTCCTAACGAGGTTTGTAATTTTTTGTGGTTCTTATTTGATTTAACCCATGTATACATATACATATACATATACATATACATATACTCGGATTCAGTTCCAATTGAAGGACAAACGAGAGCACACTACGTATCCCAAAAATATACGGAATCATTTATCATAAATGGTGTTTTCATTCATAATAAATGTTGTAAAATAATATTTCAACCCGTATTTGAATTATTAATGGATGAAAAGGAAAGTTCGCACTTAGATCCGGCTTCAGTGGTCTACATTTGCTGTCCCATTAAGGTCGCTATTGCACATGACGCACTTTCCCTCTTGATTGGATGCTGCCTTTTGAGTACGATGTGTGCAAGTTCTATTTTGATACAATTCTATGAAATCGGTGGTACCATCGGCATTAATGAATACTTAATGAAAGCAATTGCGCAGGACTCGCTTGCAATTAATGCTAACGTCGAAGAAACATGGCACGTGATCAGATCTCGCTTTGCTCATCTACTTACAGATTTCGACCACTATTTAGTCCCTCAACTCCAAGTCTCTACAATCAATCATACATCCACAGCTTTCATCGTAGCTTCAATCCATCAACAATGGCGAAACTCTTAGTATTCTTGGCTCTTTCACTCCTTCCACTGCTTTCAACTGCCACAGTCGACGCCGGTAATCCCTTCCGTCTCAAAGGTCGTGTCTACTGTGACACTTGCCGTTGCGGGTTCGAGACTTCTGTCACCAAATACTTGGCTGGTATGGTATCTCTTCTCTCCCTCTCGATCACCATGCCTATTCAGTTCATCAGCTTGCTTTTCGTCTTTGTAGCTAATTGAACGTAAAAATATTTTCTGGGGTTTGAATATTTTTGAACGGTGATGAATAAGTCATACTTGCTTACCCACTGTTTGTGCTCACCAACTATTTGATGAAATGCTTTTGGCAAATTTAGGTGCGAAGGTTAAAGTAGAGTGCAGAGACAGGAGCTCAATGAACCTGAGGTACACCCTGGATGCAGTGACCGATGCGACTGGAACCTACGAGATGGAAGTTAAAACCGACCATGGTGATCAGAAATGCGAGTGCACCCTTGTGAGCAGTCCGGATCCGGAGTGCGCAGAGCCCAACATTGGTCGTGACCGAGCCACCGTCATCCTTACCCGCAACAATGGTATGAGATACGATGCTCGTTACGCTAACTCCATGGGTTTCATGAAGAAGACGGAGTTGGCCGGCTGCACTGAGCTCGTTCGATCTTACTTCGCGGAAGACGTCTAGTTCGATTTCATAGTTTTATTGTTTTAAATCATCTTGGTAAAATGTCTCATTTGCTCAAGAATAATCACACCCTTTAGTGAATCATATATTGTGTCTCATTGATCATAACAGTTATGAAATGGTACGATTATAGTATTCATTGATTTCTTCCGTTGAATTACCAAAGGGTGTGCAACATTTCTATATGATTGTTTAGTTTTCTTTGCAGGTGTGTTGTAATAAAATTTAAATTTTCGTTAGGTCTGGCAAACTAATCAATAAGCTAGCTATTAAACAAAAAGTTAGGCGTTGACTAATAAACTAGTTGTTAAATAATACAGTCATATTTGATAAAAGCTAAACTGGTAAGCTTGATCAATGACAGATCCTACATTTTTTTCAAAGTAGATGTACCAAATAAATACCAAAAATATGGTATCCCCGGATGTCACCATATGGTGGGGCTCTAGTGGGGTCGCATCCCCTTGCGATAGTCCTTAGCTGGTGGGGTCAACGGGTAAACTCGGACAATGTCCCCAAACCTAAACGGTATGTAAGGGTAGCTAACACTAATAATTTGTATGTTTGATAGATTTGGTGTTTGTCGTCAATTTCGTTGATGCTTTTGATTTTGGGTTGAGTTTGCATTAAACTTTAAATTAGCCTAAAAGAGCGATCCATTTCCTTGGTTTTTGTTATAAAATATATCATGTTGGGAAACTGGATTTGTGGTTGTATAATCCTTGGATAGATTTTTAGATTGTATAATGGAATTCACTTTCCAATCACTATATTTTACCCCTCTAATGCCTTAAGTTATTATGAAATCAGTATCGAGATACTCTAAAAGTTTCATACACGAAATGAGGATCTTATTTGTGTATGTATGTATGTGTATATATATATATATATATATATATATATATATATATATAGGGTTGGGTTCACGTGAGACCAGCCTGTTTTCGTGAGACCCGTGAGACACCACATTTTTACACGTAACCTTCACAGCAAAAACATTGTGAAGGTTTTAAAAAGTCACCTTCACAACATTTTGCTGTGAAGTTTCAAGTGTAAAATGTTGGTCTCACGGGTCTCACGAAAACAGGCTGGTCTCACATGATCCCAAGTCTATATATATATATATATATA